AAAAAACTTTGCCTCTGCACTGTTCTCAAACAGGCAGCCTATCTCCAGTTTAGCGGCTCTCTCACGGATCGCCAAAAAAACTTGGCCTCTGCACTGTCCTCAAACAGACAGCCTATCTCCAGCTTAGCGGCTCTCTCACGGGTCGCCAAAAAATTTTTTTGCCTCTGCACTGTTCTCAAACAGGCAGCCTATCTCCAGTTTAGCGACTCTCTCACGGGTCGCCAAAAAACTTGGACTCTGCACTATTCTCAAACAGGCAATCTATCTCCAGCTTAGCGACTCTCTTGGGGGTCGCCAAAAAAGCTTGGCCTCTGCACTGTTCTCAAACAGGCAGCTTATACCTCAAGCTTAAAGACTCCCTCATGGGTCGCCAAAAGTTAGGTCTCAAAAAGTGTAGCTCTCTCACGAGCAGTTCTCTCGCGCAAGCAGCCCACTTCTCTCTCTCCAGGTAATTATGTGAGATATTTTAATGTTTGGAATAACATTATTTTTGTCATCACAAGCAGGTTCTCCCGAGGCAGCCCCCAGGCTCACTCAAGACGCCCAACACCTGGAGAAGGGCTTGATCATCAAGAGCAGCACCCAAAGCTTCCTTACTACTCGCAATGTCTAGCCCAACGCCTAGAAGTGTTCCTGACTGCTGTTGCTCGTCAAAACAAAGTTGCCCAGTAGCTTGAAGGGTGCCTGGCCTTTCAAAATTGCGCAAAACAGAATTTTTGGCGAAAAAATCAGCACCTAAAGGGCCCAAATCAGCGCCTCGAGTGAGAATCGGATCAGCCCGTGCTCCTAGGCCACTGCCTAGCTCTCCCTGATGAACCTTGGACTGATTTTCAGCACCCTTTGATGGAAAAATACTGCTGCCCAGCGTCCCAAAGCTGCCCAGTGCAGCAGAACTGAAGCTGCCCAGCGCAGCTGAGCTGTCCGGAACAGCAGGAGCAGCAGGCAGGCTGCTGCCCAGCGCACCTGGGCTGTCCAGGACAGCAAGGCCAGCGCCCAGGCAGCTGCCTAGCGCGCCTGGGCTGTCCAGGACAGGAGGAGCAGA